GGCTATGGACCCGCCGATCGCCTATATGTGAAACACCCGGTAACGGGTGTGTGCATTGAGCGGGTCTTTTCTGCCCGTGCGTGCCCACTAGGGGCCGCGCGCGAGCAGAAAAAAACCCGCAGATGCTGCAGTGCCGTCCGTCCGTTTTTTTACTACGGGCGGACGGCAAGAGGTTAAAGAACAATCATTGGATACTCAGCCCATACTTAAAGAACAAGCATTGGATCCTTGGCCTATACCTAAAGAACAAGCATTGGATCCTTGGCCTATACCTAAAGAACAAGCATTGGATCCTTGGCCTATACCTAAAGAACAAGCATTGGATCCTTGGCCTATACCTAAAGAACAAGCATTGGATCCTTGGCCTATACCTAAAGAACAAGCATTGGATCCTTGGCCTATACCTAAAGAACAAGCATTGGATCCTTGGCCTATACCTAAAGAACAAGCATTGGATCCTTGGCCTATACCTAAAGAACAAGCATTGGATCCTTGGCCTATACCTAAAGAACAAGCATTGGATCCTTGGCCTATACCTAAAGAACAAGCATTGGATCCTTGGCCTATACCTAAAGAACAAGCATTGGATCCTTGGCCTATACCTAAAGAACAAGCATTGGATCCTTGGCCTATACCTAAAGAACAAGCATTGGATTCTTGCTCCATATCTAAAGAGCAAAGCATTGGATCCTTGGTCTATACATAAAGAACAAGCATTGGATCCTTGGGCTATATCTAAAGAACAAGGATTGGGTCCTTGGTCTAAACCGAAAGAACAAGCATTGGATTCTTGGTCCATATCTAAAGGACAAGCATTGGATCCTTGGTCTAAACCAAAAGAACAAGCATTGGATTCTTGGTCCATATCTAAAGAACAAGCATTGGATTCTTGGTCCATATCTAAAGGACAAGCATTGGATCCTTGGTCCATATCTAAAGGATAAGCATTGGATCCTTGGCCTATACCTAAAGAACAAGCATTGGATCATCTGCCCATACCTAAATACCAAGCATTAGAAACTCTGCCTCCTTCTAAAGAACAAGCATTGGAAAGTCCACTCACACCAACCCCAACCACAGAGTAGAATGCTTCCATGTCTATACCACAGAAAGTGACATGTGGGCTCATCAGCTGTCAAAACAGACACATTACTGAATGTGATCACCTTTGCCTCTATCAACTCTGCCCTCCCATTCTTAAATTTCATCCACCTATATTATCGCACAGATTCAACATAAACATCATGGAAAAGTAAATACAGAAAGGGAAGGACACAAGCAGAGACTGCTAGTTTGCACTGAGCAAACATGGAAAAAAAAAAAAAATCAAAGAGAAAAAATTAAAACCATTGCAGCACACACACAAAAAAAAAAGAGAGAGAGAGCATTACGCAGCAGTACTGTCACTCCAATGATCCATTAGCTGTGGGGAAGATTATAACAGATGTCAACTTTCCAAAGTTTCAAAAACTTTCACATGCAAACTTTTTTTGTCTTCCTCCCCATGAGTTATGATGTCATGCCTCCCCCCCTTACAAGGGGACCTGTATCACAGCGGGGTGAAGCGCAGATTGCTAAATATTTTGCAACCCCCATAGCTGCCCCTGATGTCTGACATAAGGGGTCAAAGTGGAATGAATTAAAAATACTTCCATATTTTTCTTTAGGAGCCAAATCCCGCTACCCACATGAAAAGCAAACCGATTAAAAACAAAGTGCAAGTACGGCAAGTAAAATTCCTTTTCTCATTCGAAAAAAGTTTGCTTTCAAAAACACTACCTTTGCGTTCTCCAATTCATGGGAACACAACGTACGAACCTGGAAAAAACATTAAACGTACCGCGAATATTAGAACGACGTCCAACAGCCCCAGTGCAGAACAGATCCAGGAACAAACGACACGAAACACATTTAAAAAAAAAAAAAAAGGTTAATTTTGCAAAAAGTTGTAAAATGTAACGTTGCCGGATTTTGTGCAAGATTGCAAACTAGGAGAAGCCGGAGAGATAAAAAGCAGAGTTTCGAGGAGAATGGGTCCCGCAGCCCAGGTACAAAGTTTGCATTGTTTCCTATGAACAAATACAAAGGACAGTGAGCACAACTCCTTACCCTTCAAATCTCTCCTGCAGTCTGAGTTTCAGAGCTCTATTGAGCCCAGGAATGTGTGCTGCGCCATTGTCATGGCAGAGGGGGG